TTTCAGCTTGAAGATTATTCATACATATCTTTTGGTGGTAATTCTTTTATATATAAAATGGTTACTATAATTTAGGTAATAGATTTTTAATAAAAGACAAAATATGGAATCTATTTTTTAAAGAAAAGATGCTATAACTTCACAAATACAGTAGAACCTTCATAGTTGGCCACCTCCCTACACTGGCCACCTGCTTGAGTTGACCTAATTTTCATAGACTGGACATGCACCCCATGTACGTATAGGCATAGCAGCCTAGCTCCTCATGGTGACCACCTCTGTATGCTGACCAGTCTGGTATAGTCCTGGGCGTGGTCAACTCCCAGAGGTTCTGCTATATTATAATGTCTGTGCACTATTGAGACAATAAATAAAGCAATTACTGGGAATTTTATTTATTTGCACTCAGAATGTACATTTCCCTCTCCCTCTAAAAAGAACAGAGATTGCTCATAATAATAGCAGAGGTATGACAAAAGACAAGGAAAAGTGGATTTACCCAAATCAAATTCTACTCTGCAAGAGATAGTTCCTGTGGTTGGTAGTCAATGGGGCAATGAAACAGTCTTCCAAGAACTTGGAAGAAAAATAAAACTCCTGTCCTCTGAGCAGGGCAGCCACCCTCTTAGTATGTAACTCTGAAGACCCCGGAGGGAATGTGGAGAGGGCTGCGGGCTTGGGGAAGCTGGCTTCACACATGCACCTGTCAGGCATGCGCAGCTCTGGAGTGGGAAGAAGGTGAACCCTGACGGGCAAAAGCGAGTCACCAGGAACCTCTTCTCAACTGGGCCTGGAGTGTGTCCGTACTGCTGTGGGAGGGAGAAGGTATCCTTCAAGAGAGCCGTTTCCCTTGACCTCAATCCCATGTTCATTAAGCAACTTCTGATCACCACTTTGCATTTCTAGGTATCTCAGTGTCAGGACAGAGGTTTCTAAGGATCAAAGTCAGGGACATTCTGGTTGCTAGAGAGCCAGCATCACCACTGTAAGTCAATCAGTTGAGCTCTAAGGAGCGAATAAGGAAGCAGCCTGAGGTTACCAAGGTTAATCAGTGAAGTCCAGTCTCTGCTCCTTCAAAGCTAAGGTAGGGATTGAGTAGTCACTGTCCCCCCAGCCTGCCAGACTTGTGCACTGACACTCCTCGGCCTCCATGTGAGCTCCTTCTCCCCATTAAAACTTCAAAGTCTGTGACTAACTCAACACATTTTCCTAGGAGCTTCCAAGTAGTCCAGACCAAGAAAAAAAAAAAAAAGAGAGAGAGAGAGAGAGAGAAACCATGGAGGGTAATTAATCTTCATTATCTGATTAAAGGATTCTTTAGGAGACATTAAATCCTATTTTCATTGACCACTCATTTCTTTCAGAGAGAAAAAGACTTATAAGACATTTACAAGGTTTCATCCGAGAAAAAGCAGATTTTTCAAAAGTTTTTAAAAGATGAAACATTATGCTCAGCCTTAACCCAGGACCATCCCCATCAGAGTTTCACTGAACAACACCAGGCGCGTCCCCTCCCCCTGTCCCTTCCCACCAGCTCCCTTCTCTGCACTGGCTGCCCCCAACAGTGTCCCGCAACCCTGGAACCCCTGCTGCCCACTGGCCTCCCTGCCCTGCACTGGAAGCTCCGTGTGCTAATTCCTCACATCTGTGCCTGGCGGCCTGTGTCTGGGTTGCTCACTTCTCCTGAAATGCTTCCTGCACTTGGTCTGGGCCCCAGGCCTCCCCTTTCCTCTCAGCCTTCCACGGTGGCAGCTCCGTCTCCCAGATCCCACAGGCTGGGGGGCCAGGACTCCAGGGTTCACTCTGAGCCGAGTATGGACACTGCTCTTCCGGGGGTGGGCTAGGACAAGTTCAAATGCCCTGGATCTTCTTTAGACTCCCAAATTCTGGGCAGCCTCCCTCCTTCCTTCACGGGACCTCTTGGCCCAGCCTGGCTCTCCTCAGGTCCGTTCCAGACAAGGCTGAATGTTCCTTCAAACTTAAACATCAATTCACTTTATTCTCTTGCTTCAATTTTTTTAAAGTTTCCCCAGCACTTGAAGACCAAAACCTGTGGCCTCCACAGACTGTCAGGCGTGCTCCTTCCTTCCTCTGCCCATGACCCCCTTTCTATGGCTTTCCCCTCTCTCACTGTATTTTGGCCACCTGGCCTTTCTGCTCAGCTGGGAACAGCCCACCCCAAACCTGCAGCAGTGCCTTGACAGATGTGGTCCTCTCCTGAGAGCTCTTCCCCCAGACCTTCACCAGCGGGCTGGTGTCTCTGCTCACACTGCCTGTTCTGAGACTCTGCACCGACCCAGTGCTCCTGTGGCCCTGGGGACTGGGCACTCCTACCCTTTCCCTTCTGGAAACTGCCACACTTGCCTCCTTAGTGCCTCTAAGTAGAATGTGAGCACACACCCTGGTCCTGAGTACACTGTCAGGACCGGCACACACAGGGTGTTAACAGAAGAAGGAGCCAGCATCATTTGAGTTAAGGGGAAGTCTTCTAGTAGCCAGGTGCAAGGTCCTTTTGGTTTTTAATAATATATAAAAACAGACCGCTGAATTATAGTGTCTTCCTATTATAAATACTCCTAAATATACAAGTTGGTCACTTTCAAAGATAGTCATTACCTTCTCTACCTTAGAAACAGATAGAAAAGCGTATTTGTTACGTATTTTAGGAACATTGCTTGTGAAATTTCAATAATTCCAACTTCATAGAAAATTTTGAAATCATAAACTTTTTGCTACTTAGTTTAGGAGTAAAACCTGCCAGATAAAAAGAATTTTCACATTGAAAGTGTACTTGTCAGTGAGTAATGATTTTATTTTTCATTATAATATCAAATTATTAATTTGCCCACAGTATTTATCAAGAAAGTGCCTGACCTAACTTCAAAAAGCAAGATAAAAAAATACAAAAATTCCCAGAAGGCTATGTCTATACTCTTGGGCCCTGTTCTAACATGGAGAATTCCCATGACTTCCCCTATGATGGGCAAATTTCTCAACCACTTTGTCCACAAGGCCCCAGCTCAGAACCATCAGAGAATTTGGGGAAGGGAGGTCCCAGTCTCAGGGAGGTGGGATCTCGGGGCAGGGGCTCCTTTTTACCTGCGGCATTGCAGGAGTCCAGAGTGCCTTCAGCTGGGTCATCGCTCATCTGCTCCCGGGGGTCTGTCCTCCGCAGAGCCAGCAGGCCCGGTCCTTTGCCCCCACCTTTACATGTGAAGGGGGGGCAGCTGGCTAGAGAGAGCAAGAAGGAAATGACATCACTGTGAAGTACTGTTAAATACATGGTCACACATCTGGAAATTCCCAAGCTTGGATAATTTACAAAAGTATAGCCCAAGTAGGGTTCCAACTGGCCCTTCATTCTGGGTGCCCCTGGCACTGTTACAGACGGTGTGATTCAGGGTAGACAAAGGCAGGTTCTCATCTGAACCTGAGCACACACACACAGCCACACATAAGCACAGCTCTAAAGATTGGTTCACCATCTAAAGACCAGAAAGGTACTTTAGCTAAATATCTGCTTCTGGGCTTGGTCTTGTCTAATGGACTCTGAGAGTAAGCTATTTGGAGGGGGCTTTGGCATCACACTACCCTTGAAGATTTTCCTGAGGGGACCTCAGCTCAGCCTCCACACAGACCCAAAGCATAAGGAAGGCAAGTGTGTTTGTCTCAGTGAAGCAGGGCTGATGGAGGTGAGATGATTACTCTTGATTTTTAAAAAAAATATTACTTTTAAAACTATAGTAAAATATACATAATATAAAATTTACCATTTTAACCACTTTAAAGCATTCAGTTCTGTGGCATGAAGGACACGCACTTTGCTCACCCACCAGCACCACCCACCCCCAGAACCCATCATCTTGCAAAACTGAGATGCTGGCCCCATTAGACACTAACTCCCCGCTTCCCTCCCTCAGTCCCTCAAAACCACCATTCCACTCCCTGTTTCCATGACTTTACTGTAAGTAACTCAGATCACTGGAATCGCACAGCATTTGTCTTTTTGTGACTGGGTTATTTCACTTAACATGAAGTTCTCCAGACTCATGCATGTGGGTCATGCGCCTGAACTTCCTTCCCTTTAAAGGCTGAATAATATTCTGTCTCACAACCACAGTTTCTGTATCCACTCCCCACGGAGGGGCAGCTGGGCTGCTTCGACATTTAGCTATTCCCAGTAATGCTGCCGTGAAAGTGGTAGGCAAACATTTTTTTCCAGTCCCTGCCTCCCTTTATTTTGAGTGTATATCCAAAAGTAGAATTATGTTATAGTAACTCTATGTTTAATATTTTTTTTTTTTTTTGCAGTTTTTGGCTGGGGCCAGGTTTGAACTCACCACCTCCGGTATATGGGGCCAGCGCCCTACTCCTTGAGCCACAGGGTCCACCCTCTGTTTAATTTTGTGAGACATCCCCATACCAGTTCCCTAAGGTAACTGTACCATTTTCTATTCCCAGTGTACAAGTGCTCCCATTTTTCCACATCTCCCCGACACGGGTTACTTTCTGGTTTTGTTTGTTTTGATAGTACCTGACGGGTGTGACGTGCTATCTCACGTGGTTTGCGCCTTCCTGGCGATCAGGGATGCTGAGCGTCTGTTCCTGTGCTTGTTGGTCATTTGTCTGTCTTTGGAGAAATGTCTGTTCAAGTCCTTTGCCCATTTTTTAATCAGGATTCTTGGGATGTTTTTGTTGTTGAGTTGTAAGAATTCCCTATATAATCTGAATAAGAATTCCACGTGGATGGATGACGTACAAGTATTTCCTTCTGTTCCACGGTCTCCTTCGCCCTTTGCCGGCTGTGTTCTATGATCCGCAGGAGCCTTAATCCTCAAGTTCGCCTCATCCCTTTTTTGCTTTTGTTGTCCGTGCTTTCGGCATCAGATCCAAGAAATCATTGGCACAGCCAGTGTCATGACGCTGTCCCTCATGTTTCCTTCTAAAAGTTCCATAGTTTTCATGTTTACTTTCAGTGTTGGTCTATTTTGAGCATTTTTTAAAATGTAGCACATGTCATAAATTTGTGTGCCATTTTCAAGCAGGGGCCGTGCTAATCTTCTGTGTACAGTTCCAGCTTAGTAAATGTGCTGCCGAAGTGAGCACTGAAAATCTTTGAAAAATGCATCATCCTAAATAGAGGGCAATGAATTCTGTGTATGACACACTGTGACCCATCCCCAGAAGAAATGAAGGGTTTGTGTCTCAGAGAAATGAAGCCACAGAGAGTCTAGAGGCACCAAGGAGAGAGGGAGGGCGGGAGCTGCGTGTGTCCACCCCGACTGCGCCCCTGACGGCCAGGTGCCGCCCTCCCACCTGCCACCCCGTCTCCTCCTCCTCTGTCCTGCTCCTAGAATGCAACCACCCAGCCCACACGCCAGCCTCACCTTGGCCTTTGCCTGCAGGAACTGAGCTGGGCCAAAGAAAATACCTACAGGTATTGAACCTTGCTGGGGGGTGATGGCCTCTCCCCACGTAATGACCCCACAGCAAGCTCTCCCGGCAACACTCCCTGTCTGTCCCTCACCTCACCAGAGCTTCCAGGCTGCACTCTAGAGCCTCACTCTGAAATGGGAGAGAAAGTGGGAAGGAGACCACACAGGGAGGAAGCATGTCATTGACACTGCTCTTCTCAGAGGGAAGAGCAAGGACACAGTGCTCACAGCAAAAAGGACACTAGAAAAAGAACGAGGGAAGAACAGCAAAGAGTTTTTGGAGATTTAAAACAGAATATTAAATGTTTTAAAAACCAATAGAGCGTTTCAGGAATAAAATTAAAGAAATCCTCCAGAAAACAGAATAAAAACACAAAAACAGCAAAAGGCAAGACAAAATAAGAAAACATGAGGATCAAGTCAGCATAAGAAATGAAGAAATTCTTAAAGTGCAGGAAAATCACCCAGAACTGAAGTAGGCAGCTCCACGTCGAAGGACATGTCACGGGCTCAGGCTCAGGACCAGGGACTTGAAGAAATCGCTCCCCGGCGCAGCCCCATGGAATTATCCTCAGGGATCCGGAATGAGTCCAAGAGCCCCAAGAGAGGAAAAGCAGCCAGTCCAAAGCCGAGGGGAGAAGAACACATTCCACCTCCCCAGAGACTCACTGGGCACCAGAGCTCAGTGGAGAAAAGCGACAAGGTTCAGGTGGAAAAGGATCTTCACCTGGAATTTGTACTTGTTGAAAACACCACAGAGGGAGGGATTTTCAGGCATCAAAATATTCACCTCCCAGGCACCCTTGGTCAGGAAGCTGAGTAAAGCAAGTCTGGCCTCCAGAAATAGAAGGTGGACCAGACTATGCTCTGCTCCGGCCAGGACACATGTGGAGTAATGTTCTCAGTTCCTAAGGGTCTAAGGACATCATTGATTGTGTCCAAAGAGGGCGTCTGCAACGTTCACCATTTAGAAGGTGTTTTAAATAAGGAAGAATCTTCAACATGGCAAAGAGAAATCACGCAGACAGCTCGTGTGGGTAGTTACCTGTGAACAGTCTTAGAAAATAAGAACATTGTGCAGAAGAGTAACGTACCTTTCCTGGAGAAGGTTAAAGAATTAAGTGGAGAGAGAGACTGAATCAATGAGAAAGGACTTTCTAATTCAAATCGAGCTATTCAAAAATGAAACATGTTGTCTGCAGTGCTGAGATTAAATCTGGCCCCCCGCGTTGTCACAGGAAGGCACAGTCTCCAGGGCTTCCTTGACCTGGTGGAGGCCAGCTTCCGGTGTGAGGTGCTTACGATTTACTGCGTTTATCACTTCCCCTCAACCTTGGCTGTGAAATTACACTTCAAAAAAAATTTGATTTGAGTATTTGGTAAGGAACGATTTTAGCTCCAATCCAATTCACTATTTCTTAACTTGAAAACACTGTTTTGCTTCTTATTTGCTTCAAGGTAAACGGTATTTTGAGAATAATGGAAACCCAAGAGACTTTCCTGGGAACTTGGCAGGACTTTTGTCATTCTTATTTCCTGTCCAGACTCTAAGAGCCATTGACAGACCATGACATCATAAGTGGTTCCAGATTCCATCAGTGTCCACCATGAATGAAAACGCAATGGAATCCAGATGCTTCTTCTGGCAAACAGTCCCTTTGTAGGAAAAGTAAACAGACAAGGACTGTCACCGCTTTCCGGAAGGGACTCATTCTCCTTAAGAGCGGCCAGGGCACCTTTGCCTCTCGAGGAGCTCAACTCCCATCCACTGTCTGTGCAAATATCGCCAATCTCATACTCATATTTTTTCCCTTCTTTTAATTAATTGATTGTAACATTTTAAATGAGATAAAAACAATATAGTCTAACAAAAAAGATACTGATGTATAACTTAAGAGACACAAAGACTAACAAAATTCCTAAATGTGCTAAGAGTTTCCTCTGAGAACTACTTGTCATCGACTTGCTGTGTCTGGCTATAACACATTGATGCCGAAATTAAGCATTTCACAGCATTACACTATTTTCTAAAGCTAGGTAATTTCTTAAATAAGAACTTAACCACAAATTTGCATATTTAATTAAAAAATATTTTTCCCCCTAACTTTTCAAGCAGCACAGAATGAGCTATGTTATTATGTCAGGTAATTTTACCTGATTAAGCTCATCTCAATACGAGATAAGCTTTATAGAAATCAATTTCCAAAGCACGTTTAGTGCTGTAACATAAAACAAATTGCTGGACTTCCTTGGCTATGCTCATTACCAGTGGGACAGATAACCCAGTCCTGTCCCACATGTTCAGGAGACAGGTTTTAGAAGGTTATTTTTAACTCATATTCATGCTAAAGAAAAACCAGGTAAAATAAGATACAGTAGTCCTCCCTGGTGCACAGGGGACACGTTCCAAGACCCTCATTGGATCCTGAGGTCATGGCAAGGACCAAGCTCTGCATGCTGTATTCCCCCTACACACACACACACACACACACACACACACACAATGACTAAGTGTGATTTCAAAATCAGATACAGCTAATAAAAAAATACAACCCCAGTTGACCAGGGCAACTGAAACCGCAGAAGACAAAACCCTGGACTAGGAGGCTGCGGCTGCTGCGTGGTGAAGTCTGGTGAGGATGGTGCACGGGTGTGCATGAGAGGGGCTTCCCTGCCCTGAGCGTGCATCAGCGTGAACAGCAGGTCACACCTTTTCACACCAAGCCTCACGAGACCCTACTGATCTTACAATCCTTAAGTAAAATTTGTTCTGAATGTACAAATACAGTGGGGTCTCTGTAGCTGCCCCCATCCCTGCACTGACCTCCTCCTTAAGGTGACCTAACTGTCACAGACAGATGTGGACCCCATGTGGGGTCAGTCCAGCAGGCCTGGTTCCTTGTGCTGGCCACCTCCGTGTGCTGACCAGTTTACTACCATCCCTGAGGCATCAACTGTACAAACACACACATGCAGACAGCATCCAGAATCTTCATTTGAACTGCTTTGTTCAATATAATCAAAATCCATCCTATATAACCAAAATCTGAACCCAGCACCCCTGAGCACTCTAACTTTAGAGAATGAAGGCTGTGGCCAGGACTTGCCCTCCAAGCTCTGCTGACTTACAGTGCAGCGGGGGTATGAGACACACACCCACTGACCCCTTCAGAGGGTCCCACGGTAGGACCGCTATGGAGAGCATGGGAGGCACAAAGGTGGCACAGCCCTGGGCAGAGGAATTGGGCTTTGGGACCCTGGACGGCTTTCCCCTCGTGGCCAGCATTCTCTGAGCTCTCTGGGTCCTTCATTTCTCTGTCGCCGGGCAGAGGGCTCGGGGAGTGCACGAGGAAAGACCTCCCTTTCCTCACAGCATGCCACATGCTGCAGACTCAGTGAGGTTTGTGGTCCTGGTGCCCAGGCCCCACACCCCTAGCCCCTTGCACTTGTGCCCAGCAGAGGACCTGCGATGGCACCTGCTGGACCCAGTGCAGCCACACCCAGCCTGCGCCTGCCCGGCATAGGCTCCCAGGGCTCAAAATAGAATGTGTTTTTAGAAACAGCAGGGAAATGAATAACTAGCCCCTAGTCGTTTCTGGAAAAGTAAGGCAGGACGTAAATTTTAACTATCTCATTTTGAGCTTTGCTTCTGACAGAAACTCTGTTTCTGATTAGTTCCCTCCAATTGGTCACTTAAACATTTTTAGAGCAATTTCAAATGTGTGGAAACAAACAGGGAATAAAATAAAGGGTGTTTTATCTCTTTGTTTTTCCCTTGGAAGTTCTACACATTTTATTCAAATAATAAATCCATCTGAGAGACTCTGAAAAAAAAGACTATTTTCACTGAGTGGCTGATGCCAAGAACTAGGTAAACCACACAGCAGGTGACCCAGCAACCTTAAGATGTGAGGAGTGGGTGTCAGGCAACTCTTACAGACACACTAGCCTCACTCTGCCCAGACAGGGTTCACTGCGGGCAGCTTTTATGCTGGAAGACTTTGCCATATATTGTACTTACTATGCAAAATTGGGGATTTTATTTAAACTCATAGAATCACAGATGGAAAGGACGATAGAAACCACCCAGTCTAATCAAGGGGCTCAGGTTTTTCTTCTTTAAAACAAGGTTATAAAATCTTTCCTACTCTTCTTAGGGCCATTTTGAGACTAAGAAGAGAGCATCACAAGAGCTGTACAAATGCTAAATGAAATTATTCTCCCGTTATCTTCATTCTGACAGAGCCACAGGTAGAGAGAGGGTGAGACGTCGGAGAAAGGCCAGCTGCACCTCAGGCCTGTAATCTCGTCTTGCTGCCCTGAAATCATTAGTGCTCCCTTCCGGGCCATCCTCGGCTCCACCTCGTCATTTGGTTTTTGAATGTGCCAAGTGTCATTTTAAAGTTTTTCAAATCATGCCTACAGGTCCTTATCATTCTTCTAAGTTTAAGAGGATGGCGTGGGGCTGGAGATGCCAGCTCAGGTCCCTCTCGGTGGTCTGACAGGAGGGAAGACAGTGTGCGCCTCTGAGGGAAGAGTGTAATTACAAGAGTAATTAATGGACGTTTGCTTAAATTTCCTCATTTACTGGGAAATGGCTGTAATCAAAGGAGGCTTACTTACGTGACCAGTAATTAGGTGGAAGGAAATACCGCCTGAAAATCGCAGGGT